ACACACACACACACACACACACACACACACACACACACACACACACATACTTTTATAACAAACAAACAAAGCCAGGTGATGGTGATGGTGGTCGTGGTGGTGGTGGAACATGCCTTTGATCCTAACAGAGGGAGGCAGATCTCTGTGAATTCCAGGTCAGTCTGGTCTAGAGAGTGAGTTGCAAGACAGCCAGGGCTATACAAAGAAATCCTGTCTTGAAAAGCAAAAACAAAAAAATCCCAAAACAAAACAAAAATAAATCTTAAAAAAAAATAAATAAAAGAGAAAGTCACACTTTTCAAAACTTCAAATAAATATTTTTATCAAAATAAAGTTTCTACTTGGCAGGATTATGAACATGCAGCAATGAAAATATGTAACACTTAGCCGGGTGTGAAAACACACACCTTTAACCCCAGCACTCAAAAGGCAGGGGCAGGTGTATTGCTCTGAGTTTGAGGACAGCCTGGTCTACAAAGCGCGCCCAGGAGAGCCAGGACTGTTACACAGAGAAACCCTATCTTGCAAAACCACAAAAAAAAAAAAAAAAAAAAAAAAAAAAAAAAAAGAATTTCAGCTAGGTATGCTGGGGCAAAAAGATAGTTTGAGCCCATCATCAGAATCAGACTAGCTAGGGCAACACGTGAGACCCCTAATCTCAAAAAATAGTTTACAGATGTTGGCTGAAAGGAAAAGGATGGGAAATACCTACCCACTGGCACACCTCTGGAAAACAATATAGGACTCATTAGCATTTAAAAATAAATCAAATAATTACTGGAAGTCATGCTGTACTCCTTTGATCCCAGCACTCAGGAGGCAGAGGCAGGTGGATCTCTGAGTTTGAGGCCAAGGTTGGTCTACAGTGCTAGTTCCAGAATAGCAAGGGCTATACAGAGAAGCCTTGCCTCTAAACACCAAAAATAAACAAATGAACAAAAAGAATGACTTCAACTAGGAAGTGTTCAATTTGAATTGAATTTGACCTTAGAAGACAAAGAGAAAAAGGAGAAAAGAGCTATAAAAGTAATTAATAGAGGAAGAAGTCACACTGAAGATAATCTTTTTGTGACAGATCATTTTAAGAACAATTTTTTGGCAAAATCATATTGTTATCAATGACAACAAAGATGGGGCAATTCAGCCAAAAAGAAAGTAGAATTTTCTCTGGTTTCCAGAGAATTAAGGAAACTAGTCCTGAAATAAAATTACCATGACAGTATTTTTAGATGTCTTAGTTGGGCTTTAAAAGTGGCTTTTGTTATCTGCGAAATGAAAAACAATCCTCATAACCATTGTCTCTCTACTGACAGCAACATGAGGTTTCCATGGAAACAACATTCTGCTCACTTACTGTTCCGATTTTTCATAGTACAGTCAGTAAATAATCAATATTCATTTTAATGGGTAATTTACTGGTGATCATTCTAGGAGAAAAGCCTCTTTCTTCTTTCGTGTAATTTTACAAGGGAAAATGAGACACCTATAAATTAAATAAAGAGATATGCACTGTTTCTTTCATTTTCTGAAATCATGTGTCACCAAGGCAAGTGCACCACCCAGGCATTGGTGGTGCACGTCTTTAATCCCAGCGCCTGGGAGGCAGAGGCAGGCAGGTCTCTGGTGAGTTTGAGGCCAGCCTGGTCTACAGAGTTAGTTCCAGGACAGCCAGGCTACACAGAGAGACCCTGTCTCGGAAAAAACAAAAACCAAACCAAAACAAAGCCAGTGGACCATGTCAGTTTATCCCAGTTAAGTACTTAGAACTTTGTGTCTTTTCACTTAGTACTAAAAATAACAGTACTAACCAGAGTTAGCACAAATGTTTAAAAAAAGAGAAGAGTAAAATTTTTGAAAAAATAATCCAGATTAGGAAAGCCATACTTGAATTCAGTTTACTCTCAGAAACTCCAGCAGCACCTTCTGTGATATAACTGTACTAACAATTTTGCTGATTATAGAAATACACAGGACCTGGCCCCATCTTATCTTTTTTTTTTTTTTTTTTTTTTTTTTTGAGACAGGGTGTTTCTATTTAGCCCTGGCTGTCCCTCTGTAGACCAGTTTGGTTTCTAGCTCAGAGGTCTACCTGTCACCCTGATTTTTCCTTTTAGACTTTTGACACAGGATCTCTCTACATAGTCCTGGCTGTCCTGGAACTCACTACATAGACCAGTCTGGCCTTGAACTCGTAGCCTACCTCTGCTTCAAGAGTGCTGGGACTAAAGGCATGCTCTGCATGCTTTTGAATCAGTGTCTCACATAAATCAGCCCAGCCTTCAACAGGAAATACAGTAGCAGATGAGCTCAAACTTTTTATCTTCCTTCTTCAGCCTCTCCAGTGCTGAGATTACAGATTTGGGCCATCCATACGTACCTTAGAGATTTAAAAAAACATTTCGCTTTTCAAAAAACTGATGGTAGAGGCAGGAGGGCTACCATGGGAAGTTGAAGGGCAGCCTGAGCTATAGGAGAGCCTGGCTCAAAACCAAAGCCCCCAATTTCCCCAAGCATCTTTGATCATTTCAAATTGTATTTGTGTTATTTTTGGGTCACTAAGACATTTACAAAACGTAATTCTTTGTTGTTTTCTTTTTTCTTTTTGTGACAGGATTTCTTGGTTGTCCTGGACTCACTTTGTAGACCAGGCTGGCCTTGAACTCACAGTGATCTGCCTGCCTCTACCTCTAGAGCGCTGGGATTACAGACCTGCACTATAGGCCTGGCTTCTTTGTTGTTTCTTAAAGGATGTCATATGTAACCCAGACATGAGCTCACTATCTTCCTTATTATCTTAACCTCCTGAGTGCTGGAATTAGATGTGGGTTACCATGCCTTGCTGTAAAATTCATTTCAACCAGCTTTATGTCTAACAACAACAACAACAAAAATCAACCTTTCCTGAACTATTTATTTGTATTTCAAAGTCATTTAAAAATTTGAATATACTATGTTCTCTTCTTTACTGTGACTTTGTAGGGAGACTAGTCAAATTTGCAGATAATCTCCCAGAAATTCAACAAGTTTTCATGTCAGGCATTTTTCCTAGAAATCTTATACATCACTCTGCCCCTCCCCTTTCTCATTGTCCTTGATTTCTCTAGCCAGTCTTAATATTTAATGCTCTCATTTTAAGCAGCTTTACGTCGTTGGACTGTTGTAAATGATAACGTATAGGGGCAGCCGATGGCTCATCTGGTAAAGGTGCTCTTCAAAAGCCTGGTTTGGTCACTAGGGCTCACAAGGTGGGTGGGGTGAACTGACTCATTTTCTGAGTTCTACACGTGGGCCGTGGCATGAGCCACCACCCCAATATATAATATGCACCAAATAAAAATTTATTAAAAAAATCCTAAAAATAAGTGTAGAAAATCACCGGTAAAACCTGTGGGGATCTAATTTAGCATATTTATTATTGAGATGGGGGTCTATGTGGCTATGGTTGGCCTTGAACTAAGAGATTTTGCTTCCCACATGCTGGGATCTAAAGATGTAAGCCTCCACGCCTGGCTGTGTTATGCATATTCTAATCTTAAAAGGCTCTGGGTTTTAGCCAGGTGGTCCACGCCTTTAATCCAGCTTTCAGGCAGTCGCGCAGGGGGATCTCTGAGTTCCAGGAGAGAAATCTTGTCTCAAACAAACAAAATAACAAAAGGTTTTGGTTTTAGTTTTTTTTTCAAATTTAATAGAAAAGGTTTCCCTACATGGCCAGGGCTGACCTAAAACTGTGTGTCACAGGTAACCTGAATCTTCCTGCCTCAGATTCCGGAGTGATGGGGTTGCAAGCACAGGCTAAAGTTCAGTTTGGTTTTGCTTTTATTACAATTCCAGTGAATTAACAAACTAAAAGCCCATAAAATTAACACTAAAAGCCCGTAAAATTAAAAGCCTGTTATAACAAAAGAAAGGAACAAAATCGTGGTATCCAACACAAAAATCCTTATTTCAGATATCTCCATAAAAAGTTTTTATCTCCCTGGACTAGCACGGTCGCCGGATCTCGGCTCCGAGAAGCAACCGTGGTCTCCAGCAGTTTACAGTCCTTTCGCATCCCTTGAAAGGAGGGAGAGAAGAACCGGAGGCACAGTTCGCTCGCACAGTTGTGGAGGGCCCGTCTAGCCACTTCCCTAGCTCTGAGAAACGCGGCCCACCGCGGAGCGGCAGAGGCGGAAGCCAGGCTGCTCCGCTCAGGCGCTTGGAACGAATCACCTGCAACCCGGCCGGCGGCTCCGAAGCGCTCCACATGCCCAGGTTTCCGGAGCAACAGCCCAGCATCACCTGGCTCCGCCCCCGGCGCCTTTCCCGCCAAAGGCCGTTACTAGCGCGGAGCATGGCGGGACACGGCGGCAGGCTAGGTTTCACCACCTCCCTTCGAAGAGCCGAGCTGCTCCCACAGAGGGCTCACTCCTGAAGAGACCGGCTGTCCTGGGCTCGGCAGGGACTAATAACCCCTCTAAAGCCAGAGCGGGTGGTTTTTGCCCAACGGCCGGCCGCTCCGCTAGCCGTTCAGTCCACACGCCCGGGCAGCGAGGGACTCTTTCCCCAACGTGCGGAGGGTGACGTCGCGCGTGCGCGACCGGGCTTCTCAGCACCCGTTACGCTCCCGCGCGTGCGCACTGAGATGGAATAGCCGCTTCCTCCGGCTTCTCTTCCTCCCCCTCCCCCCCATATCAGTGCGCCGAGCTGATAAAGGCGCCATTTTGGACGGGCCGCGGGAGACGTGGTGCCGCTGAGGGCTCGCTCTGCCGTACGCTAGGCTTGGTGGGAAGGCCTCTCCCCGAGTCCGCGCTTTTCGTCGCCGCCATGTCAGGAGGTGGTGTGATTCGTGGCCCGGCAGGGAACAACGACTGCCGCATCTACGTGGGTAACCTACCTCCGGACATCCGAACCAAGGACATCGAGGACGTGTTTTACAAATACGGCGCCATCCGCGACATCGACCTGAAGAACCGCCGCGGGGGACCGCCCTTCGCCTTCGTTGAGTTCGAGGACCCGCGGTGAGGCAGCGTGGGGCTTGCGGCCTTGAGGAGATAGGCTGGAGTAGTTGGGGAGAGGCTCCGAGGCCTTTAACACGATGTGTGTGGTGTGGGGGGGGCGGGGAAGGAGGGGCTCCGAGGCCGGGAGCGAGGCGCTATCGCCCCTGCAGGAGCCGAGTAAAGGAGCCGAGTCGGCGCGTTGTCTCCGGTGGCTGGCCGCCTCGGACGTCCCCAGAGCCCATGCGCGGCCCCGGAGCGGGAAACTGAGGCGCTGAGGGCTGGCGTGGTGGTCGGGAGTCTGCCCGGCGTGTTTCTGGGTGGGGGAGGGGCCGGGCCTATTATGCAGCGCATGTGGGCTCCGGCGCCGTGGGGTGCGCATGTGCGCCGGCCCGCGGCTCCCCGAGCGAGCGAGCGAGCCAGGCGGCCAGCGAGCCCGGCCCGCGGCGCCCCTCTTCCTCATCCCCTCCCCCGCTCTTGCTTTCTGTGATCACGCAGAGACGCGGAAGACGCGGTGTACGGTCGCGACGGCTACGATTACGACGGCTACCGCCTGCGGGTCGAGTTCCCTCGGAGCGGCCGCGGTACAGGCCGAGGCGGCGGCGGGGGTGGAGGCGGCGGAGCCCCGAGAGGCCGCTATGGCCCGCCATCCAGGCGGTCCGAAAACAGAGTGGTTGTCTCTGGTGAGTTGACTTCGTGCGGGTTAAGATTTTTTCTTCTTCTTCTTCTTCCCCTCCGCCTAACTGGTTTGACAACTGCAAGGTTTTGTTTGGTTTTGTTGTTACAATAAACTGCTTCGGTCTTTGGGGTGATTACTGTGGTGGTGATTTACCCAAATTAGGTTGCAGTACTAGCCTATGAAGATCCTTTACAAATAAATTTGGACTCTGGATCTCAGACTCTTACCAGCTCTTTACCTGGAAACACTTAAGTACAATCATTAAGTATTCTAAAATAATCTTTGTTCTACTGTACTTTATACATTTATTGTGGGACAGGGTAATTAGTATTAAGTTGGGGGAAATCATCGCTCTTTCAGGACTGCCTCCGAGTGGAAGCTGGCAGGACTTAAAGGATCACATGCGTGAAGCAGGTGATGTATGTTATGCTGATGTTTACCGAGATGGCACTGGTGTCGTGGAGTTTGTACGGAAAGAAGATATGACGTATGCAGTTCGAAAACTGGATAACACTAAGTTTAGATCTCATGAGGTAGGTTATACACTTATTTTTTTCTTTGGCCAGAATTGGATACAGTGTTCTTAACAGTGGAATTTGAAGGTAAGGATACAGGCAAGGGTATCCAGGTAAATTACCAGAGACCTGGTCTGTCTTTGTATTCGTTCAGCATGTCTGAAGACAGGTGAAAGCTTAGATCTTTCAATGGAAAGTTCTGTCTATCCAATAGGGAGAAACTGCCTACATCCGGGTTAAAGTTGATGGGCCCAGAAGTCCAAGTTATGGAAGATCTCGATCTCGAAGCCGTAGTCGTAGCAGAAGCCGTAGCAGAAGCAACAGCAGGAGTCGCAGTTACTCCCCAAGGAGAAGCAGAGGATCACCACGCTATTCTCCCCGTCATAGCAGATCTCGTTCTCGTACATAAGATGCTTGGTGACACTTTTTGTAGAACCCATGTTGTATACAGTTTTCCTTTACTCAGTACAATCTTTTCATTTTTTTTTTTTTAAATTCAAACTGTTTTGTTCAGAATGGGCTAAAGTGTTGAATTGCATTCTTGTGTAATATCCCCTTGCTCCTAACATCTACATTCCCCTCATGTCTTTGGTAAATTGTATTTTAAGTGATGTCATAGACAGGATTGTTTAAATTTAGTTAAATTTCCATGCTCTTCAGACTGTGATATTGTGTAAATGTCTATTCTGCTCTGGTTTGTGTGAAATGGGATGTTGGGGGGTGTTTGTGGTTATCTTACTTGGGGAAGTTCTTATGTTTATCT